CCTGAGTACTGAAGCCACTTAAAGCAGGAAAAGGGGCAAAGTGCCTTCAGGCCTTAAGTCGATAGGGGCCTAAATTAGTTAATGAACTCAATTGGCCAATCGTGTTGAAACGGCAAAACCTTCGAACACTTTTTATCAGTCACATGTCTGGAATATTGCGTGTGTGAGCCGAATTCCATTAGAGTATGGCTATTAATAGGATGAAAACAAGCATTCGGAAGCACAGTCTGTTAAGAATGTATAGAGACAAGAAAATTCCCTACATCTTAGAGATTTGGGCATAAATAAATCAATTTCTCATTGGCTTTTGGAATAAAGTCTTGTTTAAAGGCATCCCCTTTGTGCACAACTTATCTAGTTCATCTTTGATGTAATGTAGAGCGTGAATCCCCTTGTCTGTGAAATATACATTATCAAAGAAAAAGATATCACTTACAATCTAAAACTATAAACGATGTAATTTTCGCCGATTGACAATATGAATTCCCCCAAGAAAATGATAAATAAACATAGAATACAAAACCAGAATATGTGACTATTTAAAAAAATTTCGTTATTGAAGGAAATTTAGTGAAAAGGACCTAAACATTTTTTACAATAACCAAATGATTTTAGTTCTTAATCCGAAGTTTACTTTACAAGAATTATTAAGAGCCGATAGGCAGAATCCAAGCAGCCAACAACTTTCCTTGCTTTATTTCTACCTAATTCAGAAATTTAATTAGGCATATCTGACAAATGTTATTAGCCCTTTTGGAGCAAGTGCATGACTAAAAGTATTTAAAGAAGATATACATTAAACAATTGCAAAAATGCACCCAAAACGAAATCATTAAGAATTTGCTCTCAAAATAAAGAAGCAGTATCTTAGCCATTTCCAGCAGAGCAGTAGCATGTTAGCCAGGCATGCCTTCCAAACAAAAGCTTGCTTTAACTCTAATCCAATATTGCTCAAGGTCATGTCTAACGCACAGCATACAATTCGCAAAACAAATACATTTTGTAGAGTAAAGAAGCTAAGCTAAAGAGACTAAAAAGCTGATATTTTTTCAATCTCGTACCTGTTCTAACTGTATCTCCCAGCATTAAGCTTGCTTGAGCTTTTCCATTAATCTTGATTTTGTCAGCCTTATAAAAAAATAAATCAATGCTTCCATCTTGATGAGCAACAACCCTAAAAAAAATTAAAACTATTCATGAGAGTTTTGCTTGCTTCACAATCCCTTGTGTTCCTCTTATTCTATCATTTCCCAATTACAAAAAAAAAAACCAAAAGGGAATAAATATTTTTTAAAATAAAATTATAAGCATTTGCTTACCAAATTCAAATAACAAATCAGCGAGTTTACTTTCAAACATATTTACTTAAACATTAAACTCACCTTAAAAACCAGTTCTCTTGCAGGAACCCAAAATTAAATTTAAATTAATGAAAGTCCTCTTATAGCACTGTTGCTGCCCTGTACCATCAATGATTAGAACTGAGGAGTATACCTCCTATTCAAGGATGACATACCACCTATCTTTAGACCAGAATGAGCAACCTTCTATACTTTGTACAACTTCGAATTTTGTATCCTTGTAAGCTTTCAGGCCGCAACAGCGGTAGCAAAAATGAATGAAGTTATTAGAGACCAAACCTCAAACTCAAAACTTTTCATATTCCAGCAACCAAATGTACAAGTTTTAAATTATACAACTTCTAAATTATAATATAAAATAATACAAAAAAATATGTAGCAATGCTAGATAAGCAGGCCTTGCCCGGAAAGGCGCTCGATCGAGCGCGCGCGCCTAGAGCGCACCAAAAAGAAGCATTGGAGAGCGATTTATAGAGCCCCTCAAAACGTAAAGACAATATTACCACAGAGCAAAGTAAATTTTTTGGAATTGGTTGAATAAACTTGATCAAGCATAAACAATCTTCCCAATAGACCGCAATATTATGATTTGCGTAAGATTACCCCTTGAGAAAAAAATTCAGCAAATTCAAGGTTGGGTTTTCGATACCATTTTTAATCTAATAACCCTCTAATAACCACCAAGGTCACAGGCCATCAACCCTCATCTCCGGAAGATTTATTTGATTTTCAAGCTGAGCGTTAGTCTTCTGTTGAAGTATTATTTTCTGTTTTTTCTTAATAATCACCTTTGCAAATCAGAGATCACATTTCCGTCCAAATTACCGCATTGCTTTTCAGTTTTCATTTGCTTTCGCGAGTAGTAGATGTTCGAGTGTGTCTTATAGAAAGAATAGCATAAAAAGGGAAACAAAGCTAATGTTCGACTTAAAGCCATGCGTTTTCCTATATTTCTATATTTGTATTAACATAGTGTTTGCTGCATGTTTTGTTATTTCATATTATGGTGCTTTTTGGTATCACCGTTGAATTTCTTATTTAACACTCTTCCAAAGCTTTCGATATGAAGCTCTCGATCTTCCAAAGCTCTTGAAGGATGCTCTCAAGGATATTTTATTTAAAGGTGCTAAATAGAGCGCCTAGAGTTTCTAAGGGGCTCTTTTTATGGAGCACCTTCATTTTGCTTAGAGCAAGGCCTGAGATAGCCAATTAAACGTTGTAAACCCGAAAAGTTTTTGTGTCCAGTGCCTTTCCTGGGTTGATTACAAATACAAAGTAACTTGGTTTATAAAATGTAATACACTTGTACATGAAAATATTGAGATTTAAATTTTTTATGTGATTTGAATTTGTTAGTATAAGAAACAGTAACAGAACAAATAAGAAAAGGGTAAAAATAGAGATAAAAAAGAAAGAAAAAGACAACTATAAACTTATATGGTAGAAAAGATAGGGGAGGGAACACTGCAGTTAGTTTCAAAAATGGTTTGCATTAGGTTTTTTGAAACAGGTCACATAAAGTTGAGGTGATGTTATTGTTGTTAACATCGTACATGAATTTTGCAGTTTCAAATTTATAAGTATCTTCAAGTTTTAGTAAACCTAGTTTAGAAAACAAAGGTTTCGACTCACCTCTATAGCCTGCAAAGTTCATAATTCTAATTGCTTTTTTAAGACTTTTTCTTAAATTGTTTATAGCAGATTTGGAAGCACTACCCCAATTAATGATACCATAGCTGAGATGAGGAGAAATGAAAGAATGATACAATTGTTTTAGTACATCTAATGAAACAAAGTGTCTCATCTTTGCCAGTACTCCGATGCTTTTCGAGATTTTTGTGTTGACATTTTGTGTATGTTGTTTCCAATATGATATCAATAAATTAATCAGCTGTCAATAAGAACACCAAGATATTTTATATGGTCTTTTTCTTTAATGGAAATATTATCAATTTTGATGTCTAGGATAGAATTAATTTTTTTCTTACTTGGGATAGTAAGGAAACTGGATTTATCAATGTTAAGTGATAACCTGTTGGCAGAAAGCCATGTTGAGAAATTTTTTAACTCATGGTTAACAATGGATTTTAGATCCTTCGGGTTATCATTAGAAAGAAAGATGCTTGTATCATCAGCGAAAAGATGGAATTTCAGGATTTTGGAGCACAAAAGCAGATCGTTTATATATAACAGGAATAGAAGAGGACCAAGTACACTTCCTTAGGGTACACTATGTGTGATAATTTGGGGTTCAGACAAAGTTCCATTTATGCAAACTTTTTGTGTTCTATTTGATAAGTACGATATGAACCAGTTAAATGGATTTTCTCTTATACCAAAGTCGTTGAGTTTGTCTAGTAAAATTTTGTGGTCAACTGTGTCGAAAGCTTTAGCAAGATATGCAGCAAGAAACTTGTTTTTTATCCACAGCCCTTGATAATTGGTTGCAAAGGTCTAGTATGGCTTGTGAGGTGGATTTGTTTTTTGAAAGCCAGATTGATGTGAAAAAAGTATGTTGTGTTTTTCTAAAAAGCCTATAAGTTTTTTATACACAATTGCAACACTCCTTGTTAACTAGCCACACTCCCTGGTACCTGCATTCTAAGACATTAAATCCATCTGATTTTCTGAAGCTTTGGAGCTAGCTTTACATGCAAACATAATTTTTAACATGTACTGTAATTCAAATATATCTTGCGTTATTGGGGGATCAATCTCAGGTACTTGTATTCGTGGACAGCAAGCTGATGATGGGGCTTCTGCCCTCTCTTTGAGTCATATAGTAGAGGGAGGGTAGTTAAATCTTCAACAAAAATGATTCCTAAGAAGTAAGAACCTTTTGCAAGAAGTAAGAACCCACAAAGTTTTTTATGTCTGCCTTTTAGCTCTGGCCTTTCATTTTGCTGCTGTGTAGCATTTCAATGTTGATACAAAGGCCAGAGTGCATTCCATGTATTTAGGCTCAAAGATCTTTGGTGTACACCCAGGTTTTTTTTCTGCATTCGGCGTGCAAACCAATAAAAAAATTTTTTGGCGTTCGTAAAACTTTCGTTAGTTGGCATGCTAAACATGAAGCAACGTACATATATAACATGAAATAAACATTCATACACCACAGTTTTTTCTATTAATCAGTTTTCTTTGTGTAGTTCAACAATGTTTACAGTTTTACCAGCTGGTCATATTCTCGGGGTACCTAAACAAATGCCTCGGTGGCAAATCTAAGCAAATGTCTTCAGCATACAGTTGACATTAAATGCACCCTGGTACAAAAGGAGTGACTCTTCGATTGATTGTTTTTATAGCGATTTTCTCTTCTTCAAGCGCATGCAAATTAAAAAGTTATCTGTCAGAACGAAACTCCGTAGAATAGCTTATGCATTTTCCCGCCATAAACTATCGTTACCAAGCCCCTTCAGTTTGTAATGTAGTGGTGTTTTGATTTTGTTCAGCGTAAAAGCCGCCATTATGACCTACCGCAGGCCTACCGTTAACAAACTTTTGTAGCGAACGTTCATGCAGCCCAAAACGTATTTAGTTTGTAAACAACTGAGTCAGAAGAAAATCTGGATAGGATCTCTATTACCCGATAAATTTCATGTAATACTTCCCAGAGTATTCTGCGAAGCGCGGCAGTGAGGCGATGTATCGTGGCTAAACTTAAAAAAAACTTTGGGCAACCTTACCAAGAGCAATTAGGTCTGGCTTTTAGTTGTCGGCAACGCTTGAACATGGTAACATACAGGCCTTTTAGCCTTACAACATCACCGACAGTTTTGATTTTAGGTAGATTCTCCTCTGATTTTTGGAAGAAGAAGCAGCAGATACCGTCTTCTTTTTCGAGGCTTGGATCTTTAATTGTGATGGTTGAATAATAATTGCCATTGCAGTCAATCTTCGGACACTGAAAAGCTGTGACAACGCCGTACACTGGCGTATTCAACTTGCTACCAACTTGCAGCTGCTTAAGTGGCACAGACGCCATTTTACAACGATCTTTACACCATTTTAATTTCTGAAGTTCGCTACACAATCAATGGTGCACCCCCTGATGTATAGCGCTCAGTCACAGCCGCGAGCAGCGCAGGCGCACGTCGCGCACGCACGTTGCCCACCTTTGCCCCAAAGAGCGACTGTCGTTTTGAAATTTGTTATACTAACGGGGTAAAATGGTCTATTTAATGAGACTCAGGGGCTGCAAAACAGGGGCTGAGAGCTTTGCCTTTCCTCAATAAATTGTGAAATTTACTTAAAACCATACAAAAGTTGCCTTGCTCTTGGTTTTTAGCATATTTAGCAGGGGCGGATTCTCAGGTGCCAAGTTTTGAAAAATAATACCTGTGAGATTTCACGAGTGCAGCTAGTGAACAATGGAACTAGGGTCCAGGGTTGGGGGCAGAAGAATTTCGAATTTCAGTAGATCTGGAGTGCGCAAATGGCTTAAAACTAGACCATTCAGAATGCCTAAACATTTATTTATTTCACAATTAAAACCTTCCAGAAAAACACAGAGAACAAGCTTTTAAACGTAATAATAAACAATCGAAGCAATAAAAAATATTAAAGTATAATGAATTAACGAGAATGTGCACTCATTTGTAAAGGAGACCACAAGTCTAAAGTTTTGACGAAGACGAATGGAGGTTCTTATATTTTGTCGTTACTTTTTTCGCCTCACTCACAAGTTTCATATCAGGTGCAAACTCACAGCATTTGGAGAATGCCTCGGGTCGGTCCAATTTGACAGCAAGGATTGCAGACAATGTCCCTTCTATGTCCAACCTATTTCTATTCCTGCCTTCACCCTTATTTTTGTTGACAACAGCATATACACGCTCAATTCCAGCGTTAGAATGGGGTGCAACCATCACCCTCACCAATCGAGCCACATTAAACAGCAATCGAAATCTATAGTTATTACCAACAGAGCTTTTCATTTAGAAAAGGTGGTACCATATTACCCTTCAGCAACATCGTTTTCTTGAATAAAAGCATCTGTTAAGGCATGATCAGGGAGTTCGCATATGGCAATGGTTTTGCAATCAATAAATTCCTCATGCAAACGCTCTTTTTCCTGATCATCAAATTGCAAAATGTTGCTGAAATTAAGTAAGAAATACTCCACGTCAGACAACAAGGGCGGATTCAGGGTGTCGCACAGGTCGCACGGAAGACCGTCAGATTTTCAGAATATAGTTTTAGTCTTTAGTCATTGAAATAAGGCAATCATGTTTTCCACAGTTTTCAAGTTTTATTTTCCTCCTTACAGATAATACATTTATCTCTTTTTACACAATAAACACAGGACCGAACTTGGTCGATATCACGCACAATGCTACGATTTAATTCAATATAGAAAAAATTCAAAGACCATCCTAGACCGTAAACAGTATGATTTTTAAGCATGTCGCCCGTGCCCAGTGCCCGTGCCGCACAAATATGCAGGGCTTCTTGTTATGCAAATATTTTACCAAATCTAACCAATCAAAGTTCAAGTTTTCACATATTTGTGCGGCACGAAAAGTCTGTAAACCAGCCACTTGAGGAACCCATGGCCTGTAAATTATACGATTTTCTGCACCCGTGGAAGTGAATCTAGCCAATCACGGTGCCAGGTCGAGGGGTTCTAAACTTTGGCGCGAGAACCCATGGATTTCAAAATCCAAAACATCAAAGAATACCGACCAAACCAGGGGGAGTTTCTTCGCTTCAATCTACAGTCAAATGTAAAATGGGAATTAATCGTTTAATTCGAGTTATTACCCGCGGGAAAGTGCGCAGATTCCCCTTTTCTAGAATCGGGTGGTCCCACACGTATATCCTTAGTAGGCTGTGGATATCATATTACCTTAGCTATTTGCTAATCACCTTGTGGTATTTTCTAGGTGGTCTTTTCCTGGCATATTTGTTTAAGTACAATGATGCAGCTAGGGTCATGTCATATTTTGCAGCAAGACTCATGCGTTGTTTGTACGCGTTTTCCCCTCCCATCCCTGTCCACTTTTACTCACTTCTCCTCCTGCTTATATCCCGTTACATACTTCCTTCTGCCTCCTCCTGTCTCACTTCTTCTCACACAGTCATTCGATTGTGTGACAGGTGTATCAGTCTGATTATCGGGGTAAAAAACTGAGGCAGTTTTTCCCTGGAATCAAACACCGACCATAAAATAAAAAATGAGTGTATTTTATTAAACTGCATCTATTATTCTGTAATTGGCTGCTCTTCGATTTACTCCAAATCATTATTCATTTTCGTTTTCTCCTAATAATTATGCTTCTGAGCACAATTCGCGTCTTTTTCTTCTTTTCTCGAAACTCTAGGCCGTTCCCTTCTCATCAAAACATCATGTGACGTAAGAATTTGTCGGCGCCTTTAAAAAAAAGTGATGAACTCGATTTTACTCTGCTTTCGTTCAGAGTAAAATTTCCAACTAGAAATAGCTCTTGCTAGTACTGCCCGCAAACAATTAGTTCCTTGATAATGATTGTTTTGAAAATTTAGGTCAGGATATTCGAAGAAGACACCATCTTGGGTTTTCACAATTTTATAAAAACAGCTGCTCTAGTTGATGCTAAACTATTCTTTTTATCAAGAATTTTTGGTGTTCAGTTTGCCTTTGATTTAAGTCCAACGCCCTTTTGAAAATCATGAAGTTTTTCTAGGGTTTGACATTTATTTTTCGTTTTCGTGAAGCAAAGACGTATGAAAATGGACACGTGATAGAACGGGTACAGCTAAAATAGATTGCGATAAAGGATTCGTACAGCGATGTACAGGCGATAATCACGACAATCATAACTTTTGCTCGTACGGTGTCGAGTTTTTGGGAGAAAGGTGTGGCATTCGACTGGTTTTGATTCCCAAAACTTCGAATCAAAACTTCCATCCATTGCGGAGAACCGAGCTGTGATGCAGCACCGTTTTCGTGCAAAAAAAACCGAAGGCCTTTAACAGAGTCTTGGCAGAGCAACGCTCCGAAGATAATTCCCTTCCGCACAAAGAGGTGGCGGTTAACGACCTCGACAAAGCCGATTGATTGACAATGAAATTGATTGACAGTTGTCATGGCAGCAGAAAAGTGACAAAATCTGCTGAAAAAGTGCTGACATTATGAACTGAAGCTTCCATATGCTACTTATACGCGGGGCAGACTACTTATATCGCGCGCGAGTTGCGGGCAATGATAGAGGATTAACAGCAGATAAGCGCATTAAATTCTGCTGGAAGCTTTAATCTTAAAAGCAAAAATGGACAATTTTAGTATGTTACACGATCACTTTTCAGCATGTTGGTCCAATATCGAAAAAAGTGATGGTAAAATGTGATCGTGTAACCCGGCCTATAGAATTACACAGTGAAACAGATTTGGTAGAATCTCTAGGCGCTCAAAGCCAAATGAGGGTGAAAAAAAGCCAAATCAAACAAAAAGAACAAGGAACGGAAACACATGCTCTTTTAGAAGTATCAATATCAATTATAATATATCCTCTTGCACATGGGTGGGATAATTATACAGGGAAGCGTGTTATCGAAAGTCAAAAAACACGTAATGTTTTCTGCTGTCACCTGTGTAAGCCAGTAATCATCAGAAGGTCAGGGTTGTAAGCCAAAGATAATCAATGATCACAAACTTAATGTAAGACTGATACATTAATGCGTTTGACAATCCTTCGCGCAAAAGGTATGGGCAAGCAATTGTCATAAACAATGTAGTGGAAAGAAATGTGTTCAGCAACCAATGAAGCGTCTGATCTGAATTGAAAGAAGAATGAGGCCCAGCAAGAAAACTGTGAGAAAAGCAACTCCGGTTGTGAGACTATGGGAAGAAGTGAATATCCGTGAATATCCTTGGCAACCTTGGGATTCAGGGTGTCGCACAGGTCGCACAGAAGACCGTCAGATTTTCAGAATTTATTTTTCGTCTTCAATCATTGAAATTAGGCAGTCATTTTTACCAAAATCTGTTATTTACCTCCTTTCAGTTAATACATTTATCTTTCTTTACACAATAAACACAGGGCCGAACTTGGTCGATCTCACACCCAATGCTACTTATAGCCTCGAGATCTCACACCCTTGGACTAGTATGACCCCGGAGTCATATCGGTCCAGACAAAAATGACACCAAGGTCATATCGGTCCAGGGAGGGCCAATATGGTCTGGGCAAGAAAAATAAGAACTCGAGGCTATTGTAATGGTTATCACGGCACCGATGCGCTCATTATGTTTTTCGCGGGCAATGTGAAATGTGTTCCGATTACCCAATGAAACAAATCGAAAGCCGCGTTAATCATGACGGAAGAAGATCAGAAAGAAGAGCACAAAAAAGTTTCAACAAGTGGTTGTTTGACTACACATCGCAAGGAAAAAGTCTTTGCTAACTTTGGAAGAACACTTGGAAAAAGAGGTTCCACTTGAAAGTGTGGTAGTCATTTGGAATTTGGTTGAAAATCTTAGAACACCAGCTAATACGACCATAAGCGGTCATTAACTGTATTTTTGACATTGACTACACTTTAAAGCAGCGAAAGTAAATGCTCCTTTTGACAACCAAACTACTTTAACAACTAATTATTTTTGCTTGCGACTATATATACTCCTTTTCATAATAACCATTTTTATAAGAATAGGAGTCTCAAAATTGGTCAAAAGTTAAGAACAAATTATAAACAAGCTGAGGTTGAGCTCCTGTAAAATGTAATTTTGAACAATATTTCATCTCAAAAAACGAAAGCTAGCAAGAAGATGCTCCCTCCTCGCTAAGCTTTGCTTCTAGGAGAGCTCCGTCTTAAAAATTTCCCTCATACCAATTCTCTAGTCATGCAAAGACAACTTTCTTTTGACATATGCTTGATCTATTTGTTTTTGTATTCATACTTTGTGGCCTAAAACTATTCAAATTGTTGAATTTTGTTTACTGTTTTCAGTATCTATATGCAGTTTTGAAGAATTCTATACTGTTTTTCAAAATAATTTCCTTAATTTAAAACAAAATCATCTGTTTGTTAATATTCTTATAAAAATATTTTCAGAAATTTTAAAATGATATAGTTTCTGTTAGTTTTGTAAAATATATAAACGGAATCTGCCTTGAAAGCTCTTGCAGAGTTATTTCCAGACGTCCGTAGCTTAAAATTATCATTGAAAAACAGCGGCACTTTCCAATATTTCCACAATAAACATGGGAATTTAGGCCAACTACTTTCTTCGGTGACTAGCATTTTGACAAAAATAAGAGATAGGAAAAGTCACGCTTATAAGCTCTCTTTGAATTCTAATACCACTTGTATTCGCAAAAAAATAATTGTAATACCACTTGCAGAGAAGCTTTTGTCGGCTCCAAATAAAAAGGACTTAGACCCCAACTAAATCACCTTCATATTGTGTAAATCTCCCTTTGCGGATTCAGAAATTTTCGCGTCCATATGTAGTGCAATCAGATTAGATTGGTACTTGTCACAACAAGTCTCTTAGTCCATACACATACAGATATTATTGATTCACATGAATTCGACTTTATTTGCAATGTTTTAATGCGCCAGGAATCCTTTTAGTGTTGGTTCCTCGACTCCCGATATATGAGGTAACAATAGCGCGCGCGATTGAAACCAAGAGATTGTGAAGCTCGGGGCTTGTTCCAAGAGGTCGCATTTTTGGTTTTAAGCTAATTCAAGTTGTTACTGTTTATCATTGAACTTCAGAGTGTACCTTCAGTAAGAATCCCATCTTCTATCTCATAAGGAACATGTTGGATATTGCAAATCCAAGTAAGTTCAATGGGTTGATTATGTGGGTTGATCCTATAAGTCAATTTCGATCCTATAAGTTGACAAGTCATTAATATTTTGCAATGAAAAATTTGAAATTTTGAAATTTTGTTCAAATTTTTATTCACGAACTACCATGGATAGAAGGACTCCTTTTACAAGTCAGTTCTTTGGCTAAAGGGTTACAGTGATCTGTTTACATATATAGATTGAAAAAATGAATGGAAAGGATTCCAAGAAATTTAAATAAATCTTGACAATGAACAAAAGAAAAAACTGCTTGATTTCATTACTGTCATAAAGAGGTGTAAGTCACCCTTTCTGTTTATTAATTCTATTCATGCACTTCATTGCTTGTCGAAACTTCTAGAACATTCTACCAAAAGAATAATCGCAACAACAGATGGTTGAGTTATTGGTTGTCCCTGTAATGCCAAAGTGAACAGAATGCAAGGAAAAAGAACTCGTTAAGTTTTCCGATGCAGAAAAATGCAAAGCAATATTCTTGCTAGAAACGATTCAACTATTAAATAAAAACAAAAAGTCCCTTCATCAAGTGATCAGTCTCTTTCTGCAATTGAAGTCAAATGCACCTCTAATTCTTGCTCTGTTAGAACCCTAGGAGAGAAGTTCAGATTAACGATTAACATTCATTGCTCTTTTAAGTGCTTAATTATTTCTTAGTGTAGCAAAAAGATTGTCTGAGAGATGCTTAAGACCTGCAAGATTGGAAATAAATATTTTATTTGGAGTTTAACGCTGGCGCAAGATGTAGCAAAAGAATATAATTAAAAGCAATTGGGTAATAAATACCTAAATTTTGGATTATCCTTTGTAACGACAGCTACTTCGATTTCAGAAGGCTTGAAGTCCACTGATAAGACACTCGATAAACATGTAATGGCAGTCTAAAAGTAAAAAAATACTGTCATATTAAGCAGTGCAACTTAGTATAAGATAATATCATAATATAAATTATATTAATGGTTGTAAGCAGCAGATAAAAACATCTAAATGAAAACTGGAAATTTGATCGAATTAACCTCATTAAATGTATATATGATAGAAATATCTTAACAATTTAAATCGTTTTTGTATGAAATATAACCCACACGATTTTGTCGTTTGCAGCATACAAAGACTTGTTAAAAGTTCTGGTCAGCTATTTAAAATTTACCGTCCATCTTTTTAAAAAATAAAAAATTATATAAGACGCATAGCTCCATAAATCTATGTTTCTTCATACCTCTACAACATCATTGTACTTCCAGTGAGGTTTTTTCTTTAATTTCTTTTCAAGGTAGCTATTTACTTCATTCTGTTTAACACCAGCACCAGTTGCCTTAAAACCACAAAAGTAACCGGCTGGATCTGTTTTGTACAGCTGTGCGCCTTGCTCCTCATCAATTCCAATTAAAGTCATACCTTACAAAATCAAAAATAAATTTAACGTTGCAATGCAAAAAATACTAGCATTATAACTAAACAGACGGAAAACTGAAGCTTTAAAGCACCAGTCAATCACTGCATAGTTTCTGATGTTGAACAATATCTAGAGGGCAAAGCAACTGTCATAGAAGAAAAGCCATGAAAAAGTGAACTTCACTTGATATAATTAAAATGGTGGGTGGTGGAAGTCAGATTAACGTAAAGTATACTTAACGAAAACCTTTCATCTAAGAACGGCTACCAGTAGAAAGTACCAGGGAAAATAAAGGCCACGAGGTTGTTATGGAGCAAGGTAGTAACAAAGATAATTCTAGTTTTTCTCAAATTCGTTGCCATAGTGGATAGTTAGATTGTCTGAGGTATAATGCACGATAAAAAGCGTATTAGATAAGAAATATCATTTAATTAGATTGATTGTGAATGTGAAAAACCACAAGGCTTTTCTTTGGAATTGAACATAAAAACGCTGTTTCTCTCTTCAACATGAAAACAGAAAATAACTAGTACAAGAACAACGAACAACGAACAACGAACAACTTCATTTTTTGCTTTGTGCATTTCGTATATTTAGTTTGCAATGCCTGCTATATAAAACTTTTTATAAACAGGGCATCTCGATGCCATCTCCTTGACTCGATGTGCCTTCGGGGGCCTTTCTAGCTTTACCAGCTACCGTTTCTGTGATTTTTTAAATACACGCCATCTTTCCACAATGGTTACATAGCAGCTTGAATGTGAGTGTCTCAGAAATATGACCAATCTTTCATTAAGGCTCGAAAAAACTGATTTTGCATTTTACTCTGGCGTTACCTGAATTTCGATCATAGTCCCATCCGAATACCCCCCCCCCCAGATATAAGCCCTCTAAAAACAGACTTTAAACTGTCATAAGCCCTGGGTTTAAATTCGGAATTTTACGGTAGGTAAAATTCGCTAACAATATGTAAGAAAAATGCAAAAGGATACATAATTGATTAAAAGGTAGGATAGAAATGATAAACAAATCATGGAAATAATCTTAGCTACTGGACGCAACTTACTGGCAACCTAATAATAAGGAAATTAACAAAATTGCAATATTAGTGTGGAGGTATGTCAAAATGTTGAATAATCACATACAACATCCAAGAGGCCTCATTTCTGCATTCTGCGTGTAAACTTGCGAAATATCTGCTATCTGTTTACACAGCATTTCTGGAGGTATTTCATAGCCATATCGGTTTCTCCATTTGGCTGCAACTGACCTTGCTCTATTGACTTGATAACGGCAGTCAGCTTTAAGAAATAAAAAAAGATTAATGAAAGGCGAATTTGATGAGGGTCTTTGTTAATAAGAAACTTTCCAGATATAGCCCTTTGTTTTTAGAGGTCATCTTCTATGATGCAGACTGTTAAGCAGCAGGGCAGAAAATATTTCAAATCATTTCCTCATTTCTCACTGGCCACAATGATTGAAATTCTCTAAACAGGCATTAAATAAAAAAACTGCCATCGTTGAAAGATATAAAAACTTGCAACTTAAAGGGCAAACATTCTATGCTTCAATATTGTTTTAGTGACAAAAGCAAGTACACCTTGACCCCGCCCTCAAGAATTTAATGATTTGAATGTAGCTAATCAGTTTAAAATTTTCCTTCTTAAACAAATCTTGCCAGTATTCAGTTGTTTACTTGGGTACATCAGGACAAACATAATTTGCATACAAAATCATTTTCATTGTCTTATAATTAAATCATGTTGATTTTGATACCAAATTTTTTTATCATCAATATGGTAGCTCAAGGTTAGCAATTACAAAATTGTTTTGACAGAGTTCATTACTGTCTGCAAGGTTATAATGGGAAATTTTAACAATACACAATTAAATGCATATAATTGGGCACTTTGATCAAGAATCTCTAGTGCAAAAAAGATCTACAGTTTCTTGCACAGAAAAAATTTTATTATTTGCTTTACTTGACAAAATCTATTCCTTATAAAAAGCTATCTGAAAAAATCTCAAGTGAGGCCCCCAGACACCAAAACCATATTGGTCTAAGGATGACAAATAATCTAAATAAGAATGATTAACAGAGAGCTAATATTCTTTTTTGAAGAAATGTTCAAACAAATGCAAGGAAATTACCCATCATCCCTGTCATGACACATCCTATTCCATCACTAATTTGAAACATATGAGATACTGTGTCTGCATCAAGAAGTTTATCCTGAATAAAAATAATGGCAATGAAAAGGCATCTTAAATATAGAAAATTAGATGTCTTCCAAAAATATTTATTCGTTCAAGACAAAGAAGAAAAACCAATTTTCCTGTGTTATGCCCAGTGAAGGAAGTTGTGGGGGTGTGAGAGAGGCAAGTACCTCCCCCCAGTTTTTGTAAATTGTCAGTTAAGACACCCTTTTGTCGGTAAATTATGTCAATTGTCAGAAAAAATTTTCTTGTTTTTGTCTGCATTGCCCCCTACCTACCTGAAAATGAATTTCCGCCATTGGCTATGCCTTTCAGATGAACGGATAACATTTTTTAGCTCAAAACATGAGCCAAGTCTTATCACAGAAAAAGAACCCAAATGTTTTAACCTACATTTAGTAAAACTGGTTCAATTGATTAAGACATAAAGGCATGCATCAAAAGTGTTGGGATACTGAATAGCATTTACAGAAGAATGAAAGTAGCCCATATCAGCATTGCTGCCCAATTTTATACCCTCTTAAACAAACAAACAATGTATAGAAGTTTGCAAGTGTTGTTACTTTTTTTCAACAAAAGATAAAATATCATGCTCACAGGCACTTTCCTTTGACAAGCAACCACTGCAGCATCAATACCCTTCACCCCAACTGAGGTCATGGCACCCTGATTTATGGCTTTAAAGGCATATTCTAAAAATCGATAGAAACACACAATCAAGGCTAGTTTCAAAACAGAGTTTGAAAATATAAACTTCACAAATGCATGGTGGACTAAAAATCTAATTTAGACCAAGTGTTGTTCCTAGTTTTAAGTAGCTTGGTAAAAACTGCCAAGACAGTCCCATTCAATGGAAGAGACTTTCATGAATGGCTATTAATTTTCTTAAAAATAAATGGGAGACCCAGCTGCAGACCAGGGTCAATGCATGCTAAAATTTGGAAAGGTTAAACAAAGTGCATGCAACTTAAAAATCCAATGTAATAGCAATTGCTACTGAAAAAACAAAATGCACACCAATTACGAAATAACCTTTGATAAAAAATTGCTATCACAATAAAAAGCTGATTTGGAACACATGTCCCAATTTAATGGAAAGCTATTTGACGAATTGTGTTTGGTGAAAAATGTTCTGAAAATAAAATGCTATTCATAGCCATTCTATAGGTAAAAGCAGTACAACAAATTTAATTGAAATCTATATAATTAGACTGATATCAAGTCAAAAAAATGATTTTTAAGTAGACAGGCTGTAAGCAAAATAAAATCAATTTAGAAAAAGAAAATACAGAAATACATGGCTCGGTTAAAAGCTGACAATGGCTAAAAAAGGTCGAGAAATAACATTCAGAGTCAAAATCTATGTTTCTGGTTTGAAAATTTTTTGTTAGGTTGTGTTGCATGGATGATTTTTTGTTAGTTGTTACCCCAAGAATTATTTGCACCTGTAAAAATTCTACATCTTTATAAATTTGGTTATGCAAAACGTTTATTGTTAAGCAATTGAAGAGTTTATCTAAAGGTGACTAAGAAATAGTTTTTTGTCTACTCTTAACAAAAAATTCAAACTTGAGGACTGAGACAAAGATGCTAACAATTTTACTCAGATTTACCAATTACAAAGATGAATTGAACTAAAATTGAAATATGTTATCCCAGAGTAAACACACAATGGTGAATGAAATTTTCACCAGGAATAAATCAAGAATAGAACATCTAGACAAAGAAAAAAACAGGTTTATAAAGTCAAAAATTCTATATATTGTGCCCAGCACCACCATAAATTTCCAAAAGTAAGATTTTCCAATATTGCCAAAAATAATTTTTAATCTGCGTAGAAGAGACAAATCGATCACATTCATTTTGCAAACATAACTCTAGGCTCTTGTAAAAATTTCTAAAGCAGAGTAGAAATCCATAAAGGGTTTTACATTGGTCGTGCCCAAAATCTAGTACCTTGTGATTTGGTTGTGCCCAACAATAGAACCTTTGATTGAGCAGCCTGTGTTTGGTTGTGTCCAACAATAGAGAAAAGAATGCTAGCCATGCACTCAGACATGGGCAGGACCTTGCCATCATAATCATAATATTTCAGTTATGAGAAGCAGCATGTGATTGGCTGAAAACTGGTGGAGTACACTGACAAGATCGTGCCCATTTCTGAAGGCAAGACTAGCTGCACCCTGTATCATAAGCAGGACTATCTGTTAGTTCCATATCAAGCAGTTGTATTTTATAACGAAACTGTGATTCTACTGTGGTGGAAGCACAGAGTTACATGAAGATTTACTTCAATTATGGAAGGAAATGAATCTTTTTTGGTAGTCAAAGTCCAGGCAAGTTTTCGTTCAGCTTAACACAATCATGACATTCAAATGAGCAAGATGTCTTCTAATGTGGCGAAATCTGCAATAATTTGAACATCATTGGGACACTTTTGATTGAAGCTGATAAGTGTGGAAAATATTGCAGTTTTTAGCTCAGGTTTGTAGCAGATAGACGCAAGCTGGAAACTATAAAATTAATCAATCTATTGTTATTCATTTTGACAACAAAAACAAGATCAACTAGATGTTTACCGGTGACAAAAACGAAACTAAAATGGCCTTACTTTTCATTGAGGAATTGAGGAAGGATGCTCTACTCAAAAAAATACTTTGAGTAATTCTCTCAAAAGGTACATAAATATTTATTTGTATTGATTTTATAAGGGATTTTTAGCTTTTTGATTAAAATTGCCATAGCACCTACTTAATTTTGAAAGTTTTTATAGTAGAGGACCCATTGAAAACCAGCTCTGCTAAAGTGTTACCCTTCTGAAATGTGTGAAAGTGACAACATGAAATTACATTGAGTGTCAAGTTGAAGCTGATTCTTCATATGTTGCTGATGATATATTTTTAAGGCTTGGCCTAGGGGTCTTCTGATTTGTTTTGAATCCTCGCTTTCTATATAATTTTGTTATTTGAAGTTTCCTTGGCTGTGTACATACTTTCATGAATTTAGCCCTCACCATGAAGTAGTCAATTCACCTTGAATAAGCAGAGGTTTATTGTTCTAAACATATTTTTCTTTAAAGAAAAATGAAGAGAAACACCTTCTTCCCTTAATTTTTTGCTCAAGAAACTGTTTCATGAAAATAACTCTTAAAATATCATGGATATTCTTTATTTCATTTTTGATTCAAATCACCTGGTCTGTGTATGATGATGCTGCTTGAAAAAAGGAACTTTTTGGGTATTTTTTATTTGCTTTTGCTGCCCTATAAAATGTATAAATTGTAATGATCTGCTTTTTAATGATGAATTTATTGATTAATAGCAATTTGAATGAATGTTAAGCTTTCACATATTGCCAAACATTGTGTAGTTTATTTATCATTATTACTTCAGGCTTTACCTTACATCAAGTATATATTTTAATGGTGAATTTCTGTGAGAGGTCAACTTAACACTAGAGGCTACCCAATATCATGCAACAAAACTTATCAAAAAGGCAGTTCACGAAGTTATTTGAAAAGTTTGTGCTTTCTGGCACTCACTGTTAAATGCTTTTTACTTGTGGCTAAATACATTTCAATAGTGTGGTATTACTGGAAAGATTTGTTAATCAGTTAAATTTTTTATGCATGTCTTCAACTTCTAAAACAACTTTCTTTCAAAGCCAATTTTTACCAATTCTTTGAATAAAATTCCTATTTTTAGGTGTACAAAACAAATATTGCTTTCTTCATCATACATTTGAAATCTGATTTTACAGGGGTACTTGATTTCTACGTCAGTTGAAAAAGTAATTTAGAATAATCTTAGAAACATTTTTATGTTACTTGATAATTTTCATCTAGTGCATTGCTTAATTATTCCCCATCTCAATTTGGAAAGACAATGAATTTTGAGTATCAGCAAGGGGCAAAGAGACATTGTATTTTTTTGCATTTTGCTACCCAGCTTCCAAAGCTTCCAAAGGTAGTTTTAGGGCACTGAGAAGCTATTCCTATAAAGCAGTGTCCTGGTCCTTCCTCTCGATGTGACCATACCTTGTGATTCCTATGCCTGGACTTTCAGAGAGTGGCCACTCAATTCTGAGTAAAAGTTTTGTCATGTCAGGGGCTCAAACCACAGACCCATTGATCTGTAGTCAGTGACCCCAACCACTAAATCATTCCCTTCAAACACAATTTTTCACTACCATCTAAAATAGCTGATCTTACATAGCTCTGATACATTCTTCCTTTCATTTTCAACGATAAACATTTTCCAATCAGTAATTCATTACATTCTCTGAATTTCTCGCATTCATACCTTGCTTTAGTGTATTTGCCACTTTCAATTCTCTGCCAGCACTAACCCTGTCACTTAGCGTAAAAGCACTATTAAGCCGCAGAGGGGGTGGGCTTATTCTTTTTTTCCATTCCTAGAGGGAGTCTTAATAGAGAGAGAGCTTATTAGAGCATATTAAAAATTTAAATCAAAAAAATGTTTTAACAATGCTCAGCATCACTTATATAAATTGATAATCCTTGGACATCTTTGAAACAAATTTTGACTGACTTCTTAGGTGCATAAGTAAGTCTTTAAATGGGCTGTATTTAATGCATACGATCTTATTATCATCACGTCCATCAACAGATCCACCAAATGCACATGCTTTCTTTGTTTGACATCAAATGCTAAAGAGGGAGGCTTAATAGAGACCTGAGCTTATTTAAAGTTTTTGCTTGATAAGGGGAGCTTAATAGAAAGGGGGTAAGTAACAGAAGCCTCCAATCATCCCATAGTTTTTAGGTAGGCTCTACTTCCCAATTCCTGAAGTTCACACCCCAAGCACAGACAAATTGCCTTAAAGTTATATACAACTACAGTTGACTTTGCTTATAGTCACTCCCCTTGCAGTAATACTCCAGTTATTATCACAATTTTACTGATTCCTGAACTTAGCTCTGGTCAAACGCTTATAAGCAAACTCCTCTTACAGTTACTCCGCTTTTTATAACACTCTGTTTATACTCCCAAATTTTTTCCTTCCCAAACAGCAGAACACTCTTCATACAGTCACATTAATGCAATAAATTCTTATACCTAGCATTTTTATTAACAAAATTTTGTCTCCGCTACAGTTAGTGGAGTACCTGTATTGTATTGTCTTTGATACATTTGGAAAGTCTTCAACTACTATCATTATTGTCGTGAAGAATTGCAGACATTGCAAAACATTTGGCTTCCTCTTCACAAGCACTCTACTTAAGGACATGGCCTTTCTATATTCATGCACCTATTGTTATGCTTGAAACTCATAACGAAAACCCATTAAGATCATCTCTGACACAACTACAATCGCTACGAAAGAGCACTGTCTGAGTTCTTTAACAAATCTTCCACCTGCATTTGTGGGCATTACCATGTGTGCATCATATGCAGAGAGCATGGCTTCAAAGCATACAATCATGTTTTCAGTACACTTAATGGGAAGAGCAAATCACAGAAACAATTTTCTGAGATGATACACTTGATGATACATTGGTGAAAGTTCTAACCCAAATTCATCAAAAAATTGAAACCAAAATTGTGACAGATTGCCATCCCGTGACTAAGCCTTTACTTCCTACCAATGTTTCTTCCCTCACAGCATTGCCAATGTTGATGATAGTTGTGTTGACCAAACACATCATGCAGTCACAAGAACATCCATTCTGATGTGCCAGTCTCTCATGGCCCTTGGTGCCATTTCAAGGCTCAAATTTAAAACTGGACTTCTTGCCTAATGAGTTAATACAAAAAAGAAAGTCCCTTTCGTTTTTTTCCAAGGAGGGACGGATTGTAGTAGGACTAGCCTCACATGATTATGTAATTATAGCCTTGATTATGTTTGTATTTAAATTGTAACCATTAACCTGAAAATCAGTCAATTACTTACTCATATCACAAGTTGTTGTCATTGTGAGTTACTTGAAAGTAACAGATTTTCGTCTCCATTACACTAAATTTGTAATACGCTCAACGGTCTCTAGCATTGAAGCCTTATTCAAAAAGGAGGTTAGACAACATTGAATATTCTCTGTTCTGGGTCATAGATTGTGCATCTTGGTATATACAGACCTTTCTCAAAAATGGACTTCAGATTTGAAATCTTCATCTTGAAATTAGTTTAGACTGACAACCTCGTGTTGTTTAGACCGCTTGGTCGCGATTAGAAAAAATAGAAAAAATTTCACTACAACGAGAAATTCCATTGAAATGCACAGGGACAGCTAAATCTTGAAAATTGGTTAATTCGTTGTCTGACGGCCCAAATAACATGAAATTTTCGACACATGTGAAGATAAAATGCTCGGAACAGAGAATACACTAGGGTATCAAAAGTATTGCACCACCTCGAAGGAGGAGAAATGGCGCATGAATGATCGAAAGCTATTGTTATGCAAATTAATTCTGTTTTTAGAGGGCCAATGGCAATTGGTCGAAAGCCAAACAACCACCAATCAAAACTTCAATCTATTTAGAGCATTTATTTGAAAAATAACAGTAGCAAACGTCCTTTAACAGTTTCAAATTTCAATATTTTGATGGGTAGCCGCAAACTTTTGAAACCGCAAAAAGCCTCCTTGAAATGGATCCACATTTTTGGTCAACGTATTTTTGTGGAATTTCGCAATAGGCCTGGAAATTTCTTACAATTAATGATTCTCTGGCTTTTGGACGACCATGTTAAAGATTGGACTTGATTCTGTCTATGCCAAAACTTTAATTTCTTTTGTTAGGAAATAATTCTTTGTAGAAATGGTTTCCCTTTATTCAGGTAAATTTTTCTTTTGTATTTGTTCAAAACACTCAATATATTTTCTGTGGACGAATTTTGAGCTGCAAATCCTTGCCCAGTATCAAGTTTCATTGCCTTTATTGCCCCTAGGTGTAAATGCAGTGAAATAAAACTGATAAGTTTGTTCCCCTCTAACATCAATTTATTTTTGGTCGCCCACTTCTTGGTTTCTTTACTACTGTAACACTCTCGAGGAATCTTTTTTAATTTCCCGCAGCTGTTGTGTAACTGCATCTAACTTGGTCAGCATATTTTTTAAAACTGAAGACCACTTCTCCGTAAATATTTTATAGCGACTCGCCTCTCATTTAACAATTTTTCTTCCTTAGGCATGGTCTACATTTTTACAAAGCAAAATGTCTTTGCATAATTTAAACATTTCTAACTAAGTTTTCTATGGCGCCAGCAAAATTTGCAACTTTTTCCCGCCGAAATTTGCTACAAAATACGCCTATTTCACCCAGTTCTTGCATTCAAATGTTTTGTACTGCCAAACAGTTTGCAAAAAGTGCCGACATTTTGAACAAGGTGGTGCAATACTTTTGATACCCTAGTGTATTTGTTTTGAAATGCTTTAAAACAGTTCCTTTCCCACACAACAACTTACTTCCTCCCACTTATTCAGCTTTTATAACTAACTCCGCTTCATGTCACAATCCGTTTATAGTCACACTTTTCTGGAAAACATTTAGTGTAACAATAAGGGGAGTCGATTGTATCAAACAAACTTAAGTGTTGCCATCATCATCACACACTCGTCATCTAACCATGAAACACGTTGCTAGATAAATGACAGAGAAGATGCCTTACCAACTTGATAAAGCCGCCCCTCAGGAGAGAATATGGTGATGTGCTTGTCATATCCAGCGCTTGTCCCTCGCGACATAATGAAAAGATGCTGACTTCGGCTCACAAATCAATTTCTGTGCCCTTTCTTATGAGGCCTGGGTCGAAGTTTAGGCCAAAAGCTGGGAAAGAAGTTACAAGTTGTTGCTGCTGTTTGTCCTTGATGTCCTTGATTCATGTTTGGTCATGTGACTTTGAGGTGTAAAAATGTAAATTAACAACAATTTCGCCAGAAAAATGTTCAGCAGATAACTTTTGTAGAAAAAATTTCGGACAACCTTTCAGAACTTTGTCGCGAAAAATTTTTTTTATGGCTTTAACAAAGCAGAAATAATAAAATGCTTCCAATATTGTAAGAGGCAAAACCATCAGCCCCGCGGAGTCCTGTCACAGAATAAGACTATTCTTATTCTGTGGTCCTGTCTTTGGGGCTTGAACATCCCCTTGAAATCCTCCTTGCAGCTTTTTCACATGGAACAGCATTTCGGAAAAATCAAAATATAACAGCGGTATATTTTCTCTGTTTATATGAAGGCAAATCAAAGGAGAGCACTCAAATAGTCTCTAATCACTATCAAAATTTTATGGAAGTTCATAAACAGAGCATAATCGGGGCCTGCATCACGAATTTGAAAATGGAGGGAACAAGGCTAAAATGTAGGGGGTCAAGGCTAAAAAGTAGGAGCCAAGACTTCTTACCAATTTTACTGCAGCTGTAAAAATACTTGCTTCACAAAAATTGAGGGGTCACGGCCACCCCGCCCCACCCCCCGGTGGCGTGGACCCTGATAATTAGAAGTATAAGTATAAGCATGGGCTCCGACAAAGGTTGAAAAGTGGGGGGGGGGCAAGGGAAAATTTAACACCTATAACAAAAGATTTTGAAAAAAACTCTATTGTTTTGCAAAAAAGTGGGAGGCCAAGGCCCCCTGACCCCCCTTCGTCGGAGGCCCTGATAAGATCGGAAAGTATAAGACTACCTCTCATTTCAAAAGGTTGTCTGGAAATTTACGGTGTCTGTTGTTCCGCGTTTTTGTGAAGGTATGGAGCCTTCTGGCAGTTCATAAACGTGAGGAATCCAACAACAACAGTACTTCGCATTGATTGAGAAGTCGAGTGGATTAATGACAACAATGGTATGTATGCAACAACGTACAGAGGTTTAGGCCAAAGGACGTGACCGAAATCAGGGAAAGAATCAGAAAATTGTTTGTATATTCGTCTTAAATGCAGTGTGGAACTGCAATTTATACAATTAATTGGTTGTTGTGTTTATTACTAGATTGATACGGAGATTATTGTTCTGTTTATTTTGGCCTTGTGTCGCAGTCGCATTCCATCTGGTTGTAAACACAAACAAGAGTGAATTAACTACTCTGTATCGAAGACAACCAACAGTCGGACAATCGCCTTCGACGATTATTGTGACTGAGTTTCAATATAGATATGAGCTCGAAAGAAAGACCCAACTACAATAATACGCATTTTGAAGAGTCCTCGTTCCTCTCTTCAGACTCCGTGTCTTCGCGAACGCCACTTACAGTTCGGGATTCACCGTCCCCGGATCTTCAGCATACCCCTGTTGAAAATCCATACGAAATTCCTGTAGACTTTGAAGCTAGAAGGAAGCAACATGAACAAGAAATGCTTGATCGTAGATCCATTGCCCACAAAAAGAAGCATTGCCTCATATATGAGCCTACTAGTACTGCTGCCAACGGAAGTGCCTCATCACAGCGTGCTTTAGCAAGACAATTTTCTGACGAAGAGCAAGGCAATGAACTACATTTTGTTCACCACAATGAGAAGAGATACAAATGCACGTTTGTAGCGTTGTTCTTGCTAGTCGCTCTGTCAATTGCCATGGGAGGAGTTGGGTTGTTTATGTTTTTGCAGAAACATTTAAGTTCAAGCAGCGAAGATAAAGTAGTCAATAAAACATCAAAAGGTTTGTAATGTCAACTGTATTTTATTTAAGTATAATTTGAAGTTTTAATAAGAAGAGCCACATTTTGTTTAGCCAGTTACCGAGCCGTCTTGATCGTCAGTGCCAGCGGCGGTAAATCGCACCTAAGTGGCACAACATTGGAAACTTCCTGATATTTTCTTGTCAATATGCTGTTTTTCATTGCAATCAATGTCCTGCTTTGTCAAGTTTTTAATTAGGAAATATTACACCGGAATCAAGCCCATCCGGATTTGTCCATGTGTTAAGTGAAAGGTTTGTGTTTTATGGTAACACTATTTCTATTTACAGCGTAATGCGAAGTCACTTTAAGATTTTGGCCTTATTCAAAAGGAGAATGTTAAGAGTTGGATTAAGCTGATTTTTTATTTCATACTCAGAAACATATCGATTAAAATGTTTCTATAAATTTTTCTGATACCAGCTCGTACTACGTAACCTCATTGTAGTAGGTACTCTTCAATGAATAATTGGCAAATTAATAATTCAGATTGTTACGGAAAGAATACACGTGTCCATGGCGATGACTGATTCGTTCATTAGTGCGACCAGAAATCGTACGATTTCAACGTCAGTTCATTAAGTTTCAATGGATACAAACCTCGCGGTAATTCAGGTGGGGGTGGAGACCTTTTGAATCTATCTAGAGGTTCTTTACGGTTTGGTATAGAAACAAATTAATCAGGGGCGGATGCAGAAAGAAATCTGACATTCGCAAAGTTTCGACCACGCCTATATGACCACGCCCAAAAAAAAATCAGTCACATTTTACTATAGTCTCAGAATCGAAGTTTTCCACTTAAAGATGTATTTTTCCTTATATTAAGTTTTAGGATTAGGAAACAGAAAATGTTGAGGCTCAAAGGTTGAGAAATTTAAGGATAAATATTAAGAATAACAGCCAGGTCTGGATTTCATTGACAATTTGGCATTTTACTTATTGAGTGAACAAGAAAAGAGATCTCTGGAAAAATTTTGAGAAACACTCATCAAGTTTTTGTTGTGTTGGCATGTTTTGTTTCCTACATGGCTTTTGTGATGGAAAAACAGCAGCAAAGATTTGAAATGTCCTCTTAATAATGATTTAATGGCAAGTCTAGGCACAGAACCACAAATTGTCAAGAACAAAGAGGATGAGCTAAAATAAGGGTATATTAGATGTGTGTATCACCCCTTCTCAGGGGGAAAAACTCATGAAAAACATTTTATGTCACTCACTTAAAAAACAGCCATTTAAAGAAAGGAATCTTAGTTCTATTTATACAATGATATTATTTAACAATCAAATACTGTGTTTAGTGTAGAAATTTTCAATGCAATATCCACCCAAATGTTTGACTTCAACACCAAGTACCTTAGGGGCTCAGAGCTTTTCTGTTATTTATTTTGTGCATTCACCTTTCTATCTAAACTGCTGTGTGATGTGCCTTAAACATGGCCAAAAATACCAGTTAGGTCAATACACATCATACAATTTTAGTATTTTCAGGTGTTGGTAAAACAGCAAATGTAACAGAATTTAAAACAATTCATTGTCTTTCCACAACAAGAACATCATAAATATATATTATATACAAATTTTAAATGTACATCAAACAAAGTCAGTAATGGCAAAAAAAATAAGGCAAACATGGTAACTTTTACTATATGGATTTATATGAGATATTTACTTGGCAGAACCAACTTGCTGTGAATTTCTTATTAATAATGTAGTAATTCCCCCATTAGGATCATTCCATTGATTGCACTTATTTACTACCCATATTTACATTTATTTACACACACAATTACATAGAAAAGAAAACTGTCAGTCACTTGCAAATTCATAAACAAAAATTAATGAATCTTAAGGGTATTTCAGAACCAAAAGTTTCAAATGGTATACTCTTATAGTGTGGAAACCACAAATAATTTTACTAGTTTTAGAGGTTAAACTCGTGAAAAGGGTTACCATATTTATGGCATGACCAGACAAATAAAATCAAAATACTATTACAATTTCTCATTTACAAATATGGCAGTCTAGATTTTTCCAAAACTGACAGCATAAAATTAACAAGAAAAGAATACGCCGTAGGAAATGCAATATCTTATTCAAAAACAAATCCCCAGCACAGTCAAACTATTTACAGGTTTGTGATAATAACAACATCTATCAATAAAAAATATCTAGAAATCTAAAATTCAGCATATTCAAATTCATCAAGATATTTATAGAACAGCATCATTCGTCAGAATGCTACATCAGCATTATCAAGATGTAACTGACTTGAACCCTAAAAGTTCTGATTGAAAGCCTGCATAAAAATGGCTATTTACCTTAAAATGCAACACGTATTTTTCAAAATATTATTTGAGTCTGAATCTCTGTCTAAATAACGTCCTCCATCATGAAAATGAAAACATAGGCAAAATTTTGGTTCAACAATTTTAGGTCCAACTGAACTGTCCTCGCATATTGCCATCTATCAAATTCCATCCATCAACCAAAATCTTCGACAAACTTTGAACATCTTCATAAGAAATCCGCTGATTCAAATTAAAAATCATCTTATATTTGACTCCTTTCACTCCCTCTGAAGTACAATTGCTCCTCTTCTGCAAGCAAATATCTCCACAGCTTTCCAACAACAATCATGGCGGTTGATGTGGAAGCGAGGTTTCAATCTGCTCTCTTTCCAAGGTTCTCTCCCTCAACTGGCTACCGAACATAGTTCGCATCTACCTTCGCCACATTCGCAAAAAAATTTCCCATATACATTTCCTATTGGTTTTCAGATGGCTAAATAACATATCTTGACTGACATTCGCACAAATTTTTGGCATACATTTTTCAGTACTACTTCATTTGCGCACGCATGCCTAATATATTATAATTCCATTCGACATTCGCATCAAACCTTATTGGTGCTCTGTGAATTTATGCGTAAAAGGGGGAGCCCTCTTTCGAATATATCATCTCTAAATCACGAAAACGAGGGAATAAAACCTAAAAAGTAAACAACAAGGTGACATCATAGCAACTAGGGCAGGAAACAAAACTTTTATTTCTTGTATTCTGTGGACCTTTTTTTTTATTATCTGGCCATTTCTAGTACAATATTCACAATGCTAAAATGTATTAACAGACAATTACAAAAAGACATGTGGAAATCTGACATTCGCCAGTGCGAATGTTGCGAATGTCTGGATCCGCCCCTGAAATTAATACATAGAACCAATAGAATATCGAACAAGAACCAGGAAAACTGACCAAAAAGGGAAGGGAATTGCTGTTTCATTGTATTATTTTTCTACTTCAAAAATATAAAAATTCTTTGGGAAAAGTGGGCCAACAACCCTCTGTTTCTCCAGGGCCGAAAACGTGTTCAATTTTGGCTTTGAGTAGGAGCAAGTTATGTATGAGCTTTGATATGGACTCCAAGGAGAACATCTGTTTTCTTACCAAAGTCAGTTGTGAGGTGAGGTGAGAAGAGGACAATGGTAGTTGTGAATTTAGACCATTGAAGGTCGTTATAACTGCGAGTGGGTACTACATTTGTCAAAACAGGCAAAATGTTTCCAAAATTCATTATGGTCTTCACTTGTTGGTATGCCATACCAATATGGCATTATTTAGTTTCTTTTCAACAGTTTAGGGGCAACAATGCATGAATCAATAACTAAGATTTGATGCTTTCATTGATTAATCATTGAAAAGGTACCCAAATTTGATGTCCATTCTCCTCTTCAGGTGGGGAGAATTTTCAGCAAAATTTAGATTCCTATCAAGAATTATCATGATCATCATCAAAATAAGATTCATTTTAATAGCCATTATGATAAGCAACTTCACAATTCATCATCTAAATCATAGTTTTCATCACCAGCATCATCCTCAGAATTGTCATTGATGATCATCACCCTTGGCACAGGTTGTCTTTTTGGTGGTGGGAAATCAAAGTGAATTTTCTAAGTTTCTTAATGAAGTGGTCTTTTCTCTTCTCATTCCAAAAATTCATTTCAGGAAGTTTATTTCTGTGTCATGTCAATGGGAGAAGGGGCAATTACCTCCCTACCCTATATCAGTTATGACCCCCATCATCATAATAACTATTATCATTTTCACAGTCAACATAACAATTATCAATCATCATCAATGCTGCATCTTACTATAGTGTACCAAGAATCATATGTGATATCAACATTTGCTACATGTTTTCATTAATCATCATTGGAAAAATCAAACAAATACAAACTTTTAGATGTTTGTAATGTGATGAAAATGAAATTAATGTACTACTTGGCCAGTTTTTATCAGCCATAACTCAACTTTCTGAAATGTTTCAATATTTTCAATATTTTTGCTCAGAATTGCTTTGAAAAGACAAGTATTTCCAAATAGTAACTGTGTATCTGGGTCTTATTGAATTGTATTAAAGGAACTTGTGACCGGACATCAACTTAGGGAGAATTATAGGAATTAGCAGATTCTTGATTTTGTCTCAAGATTGTTTTCAATATATGCTGCAACCAACTTTGAAACTGTTCCTGTTTTGGCAAGTAAGCCTATGATAACATATATCATAACAATCAGACGGAAGTAGGTATCATACAAATGTAATAACTGATGTTGGGCGCAATTTTCTGAAGAATTGAATTGCTTGGACCATCATTTGTAAATCTAGGCAAGGGTAGGATAGGATATACTGCATAGATAAAAATAAGAAGGGCAAAGCAAGGATATAACTTAAAAGGTGTGTTGCCAACACACCCCTCCCCCTGAGCCTACAAAGACAAAATCCCAGACAAAGACAAAATGCAACTTTTGTAATTTTCTACCTTGCCCTTGTAAATTTGATTCCCCTCTTTCCCCTGAAGCAATGTTGGATTTGTAGTTCTATCATTTTTGCTTTAAAATCATGCACTCAACATTGAATGGGGGGGGGGGGAGAGCTATTTTTCAAAGGAAAGAGAAAACAAAGTTTTTTCGAAAAGCCTATTTACCGAACTTTTGACGTTGTGTTACCAAACTGTTATTGTTATTGATTTTTCCAACTTGAACTTCCGTGCCTTTTAATTTCTCACTACAAAATTTCTTGCCTTTTTTTACCAATATCATTTCTAAATTAACCCACATGAAGCGAAAAGGTTTTTATGAATTGTTCACTTTTTTATTTTAAAGGATATTTTGGGTTCTTGTACCCTTGGAACCAGAGTCTTTATTCTTCAGTCTCAGAAATATAGTTAGAAACTAGTCACAGAAACCTTTTCTGTACGATTGCCACCGCAGCTGTCTACAATACTTTTCCCCCGGATTCATGAGGCTCTGGTACCCAGGGTTGGGTTCCTGCAACAATCTTCGTAGTTTTCTATACCGGTTGACTTTGTAGCTATGTCAGAATAATGTCAGAATAATGCTATATCGAACTTGTGACAAGAAATGGGTTGCCTCCCGGCTCCGCCACCCCTTTTGCTACATGAAGCACTATGTAGCGACTTGGGATTGTATAATCAGGTTTTCGTTTCAAGAAACTCGCCAAGTAGAATTTGTTTACCAAAATTCGGGGAAAAGTTGAACAATTCATGTACCATGATTTGGCAAGTATATCTTTTAATCAAGTTTTATGTCCTTCGGGTATGAATCAGTTGTACCCGGAACTCGGTCAGTGAAATCATTTGCATTTCTTAGAACTGCCATTGAAACAAAGCTTCTGACCTGGTTCAAACTGTTTTTATTCAAACATTTAAATCCTACGGTTATCCAGGTCAATGATTTAGTGAAAAGAGATTTGCATAGATAATCAATCCAGTTTGCAGTCTGATATTGTTTTGAACTTGCTCAAAATTTAGAATGGGTCAAACAATTGCCGTAAATGTATGATTCCAATAGGGTGCTTTACATTTTGCCAGGTTATTGTGCCCAAACATGACTATGTTTTACGGAAAGTCAGAAGTTTTACGGAAAATTTGATTGGGGTCCCATTGGCTCAGCAGTTGGATTTTGCCTTGATGGGTCAGCCCTCGCCACCAATGATTATTTATTGGAAATCAAGCTTATTACACTATTTTTTATAAGACACAAGCCTCAAAATTTTATAAGAACACGAGCCTCAAAATTGGTCAAAAGCTAAGAACAAGTTAAGAACAAGCTGAGGCTGAGCTTCTGCAAAATGCAATTTCGAACAACATTTTATCTCAAAATCGTGGATTTTTAGCGATGTTTGGGTGCTTTTGTGGTGAATATTGAAATTTTTCGGCAATTGAAGGTTGTCTCACTCACTTTGTTGGCAAATGAGGCCTAACACCACCCAAGAGCAAAAAAGGTAGAAACCGCACTGCTTTCATCCTATTAATTTAAGAACAAATTAAGAACAATCCAGTCTAAGGTTTTCGAAAAATTAACAACAGTCAGCCTGAACTTAAATTTACTGGTTCTTATAAACAAAGAGTGTATGACAGAGTGATATAAAGTTTGTTTATCCTTGAAAATAATTTAGTTTATTTTTTGATAAAGATCGGTCGATTTAAACGCAAAAATTGGTTTTATGATGTCTTCTCGGTCGGTTCAGTTTAAAAACCGTGACACAAAATTGCACAGTGGTTATTGTTGGGCTGCAACATCTTGTCGCAATTGTTTAATGTTTGTTTGCGATATAGACATAACTATCTCGTGATATCTTGAATGTGATACCCGAATCTACGGATAAAATTGTCTGAATGCATGAATAACTCTTATTTGCCCAAGTTCGTATTATTATTTCTTTGTTTACTGGCTCTGTTTCTTGATGTTTATTCATGCAAATTTTTCGGTCGAAATGCTGCGTCTTCGATCTTTATTTCGATCTTAAAGATCTTTATTTGTCTTAGTGTCGTGATTCTTTTTTCATTTACTCCTTTCTCAAATCTTTCTGCGCAATGCTACTTACGTCTCTCGTGCACAACGAATGTCAACTCAAATCTGTTGTCAAAGATGGATATGATTTCACTCTTCCTATTTAGAAGTAGATGGCTATGTGAAAAGCCTTACCCTGGGTACCAGAGCCTCATAAATCCGGGGATAAAGTATTGTCGACAGCTGCAGTGGCATAGAATGTGGATGTGGAGGAGAGTTAGGACAATTTTGCTGTAACTAGTTTCAATCTATATTTCTGAGAGTAAATAACGAAGACTCTGGTACCCAGGGTATTCAAGCCTCATCTGGGCACAAGATTTTCATCAAGTTTAGATAGTCATGCTTAATGGTAGAAGTGTTGATTTGTTAGTGTAAGTCTTGCACGCTGATTTACAGTTGCTTTTGATACGCTTATTTTTTGTCGTGGATTTGAACATGGTGTTTGTGACTTCAAGATTATCCGGAAAGCTTGGGTAAACTCGTACTTGCTTGGAAAATGTTCCGTGGCTAACTTTGACGCTCATTAGCTCGAAAACTGTGTTAAATATTAAAAAAACTGATAATATCTCAGGTATTTATGCTCGATATGCTTTCATGTAAGGTCTTGCCAGTTCAACCTTAAAGAAATCTGATTAGCGCCTATCTTTGTAAGCGCTCTACTTTGTTGGTTACCTTTAGCTATCTCTGGAGACCAATTATTTTTTACATTATTCTTGCAGATGAGTACAGTAGACATATTGCCTCGAAGTACCACATCGACAACATCACAGTATCAAATATAACGAACGATATGATAAATCACCTTGTTGAGCACAACCTGATGTTGCAGCTGAAATTGGATGAGTTACAGACAAAAATGACCCATCTGACCCAAAAAACAGTAAGTAATTTTTGAAAAATTATTTTCAAACATTATCTAGAGGATCTAGAGGTCATCTAGAATTTGTAAAATCCTGTTCAAAATATTTAACATGAAATGTAGGACTGAAAGCTTTAACTGTAACAACTATGTCCAGCTCAATAAACCGTTCTGCAAATTCACCAGGAAAGATTATTTTAATAATGAGCTCACGTGAGGCACGTGCCAGTTTGTGTGATCTAAACTCTTGCTTTTTATCACGTGGTGTTAAGGCTTGTTTGCGTCATCGAGTCACGCTCTTTCGCAGATGCATGTGGCACCGTAGACCATGTCCCCCGCCTTCCATACCATGCCATACCATGCCATGTCATGTCATGTCATGTCGTGTCATGTCATGCCATGTTGCTCTATTTTTTAGTTGTCATGAATATGATCCTTTTTTGGAACTTTGTACACTTGGGCAAAATGACATTTTTAGAATTTTCAAAAAAATCAACTGTACTAACAGTGAACGCATCTGCTTTTACTTTTCAAATTTATTTGCAGATTCCATCTTTGGAATTAAAGATAAAGAACGCGGAACAGTTGGCCATGAAGGTACCGTTACATACCATTAACAGCCAATTCTGCCTTGTATATTTCGATTCATTTGCATTGATCATTGTCTTGTATTTGTATTTGGATTATCGTCTATTCTTAGAACTCCTACTTCTCCCTAAACCCTTTTAGAGGGATCTTTTCAGCCATCATTAGACATTTTGCCTATTTGAATTTATACACGATCCATTTACATATGGAAAACATTTTGTAAGAGATTTACTGACATTATCTGTTGATCAGGCCCATCAAGAGAGGGGGGTAAAAAGACAATCGCCCCTGGGCCCGTAAAGCAAAGAGGAGCCCAGGTAATTAAACTGTCGCCATTTAAATCATGGTGATTTTAAGAAAAATAAATCAAATCTGTACTGGGAAAATTTAACAATGCTTCATGAATATGAATTAAAAGTAAATAATTCTAAGTGCGTTTCTAATCCATACTAAACTTATTTCAAGTCTTTTGCTTTGGGTAGAAAGGGGCCCAAGCACTGGGCGTGTCCCTAAACCCGGTGTGGCTTTCGGCAGCCCTGCTGTTGATAACCGGGGGTCCACCTTGTGGAATAAGGCTTTCTTATGAGTCAGGAGAATTTCTTAAACTCTTACTAATTTATTAAAGATAATCAGTTGGTGTAAAGATGAAGGAAGGTCGTCAGTGCCCTTGTCATTCTAAAATAGCTAGCCAATTAAAGAGCGGGTTATCTCAATTTCTTCACTGCCAATAAATTTATCTATATTGAAGAGGAAGTTAAAGGCAGCAACAACACGATGCTCCATGATTTTTGAGGTGAACTTTCATTCTTAGAGTGCAAGCTGCAAATCCATGTAATCTACTGATTAACTTGCATTGTGCACTTGCGTCCTTGAAATTGGTCAAAACCTTTTTATAGTTCGGCTGCTCTAGAATCCTTTGACTCTCTCCTTTCCCTTTCGCCTAATCGCCATAAAACAGTCTTTGTTTTGCAGGTTAACAAAAGCGAGCTGATAGGACCCCGGGGGCCAACTGGCCCCCAAGGGCTGCCGGGTCCTCGAGGATTGAATGGTCCAGCCGGAGACAAAGGTAACCAGGGGCTACGGGGAGACAGCGGACCACAAGGGGCTCACGGACCCCAAGGACCTCAGGGGCCGCCAGGAGCGGGCAACTTTAGCCAATGCACATTCAAAGTGATTCCTATAGTGACCAATGTCTATGGAGCCAATCCAAAAGCTACATTCACCCAAACTCCAAGCATTTTTTCATCCGAGGTTAGTGATTTAAGCCCTTATACAAATGTTAAGATTTTATTGAATTTATAGAATTATTCAAATATGTTCTAAAGGAAAAATCAATGTGATTAAGAAAACAATTTAAGATTCACTTAGTAGCGTACGCGAAAATAAGTTTGGTAATTTTTATGTTCATTAAGTTAAGTAACGACTTCCACCGACTCTCCCTCCTAATGTCCCATCTGGTAGCACCTTATCACGGATAATTCCAAGAAAGCCATTAGATTAACCTTCTACTGTATTAAGCTAGGTGATGTAAGTGATGGTTAATTCTTTACCTCTTACAGACCAAGTTCATCTTCGGAGTTGGTTGCACATCACGTGGCTCCGCTGAGTATATATTAGAAACAACAAAACGTGGGCAACGTGATGTCTTCACTTGTTTCTGTGGAGGCGTTGCTACGTCAACGAGACTTCAGCCTGTACAGAATAGAATCACATGCACGATTTATTATTGGGAATGTCCAATGATAACCCCGACAACAAAATAACACGCAAAAGATCGTTAGAAATATATAAGAATGAATATCTAGTTATAATCTTTATGTTGAATGTAGATGTTAGTAGCCCGCTCCATTAGGAGGATACTATCCTGAAGAAAGCGAACAGCCATTGGTATGATTACGAGTTCCTAATTTTTAAACCAAATAATACCTTCGTTTGAACCATGGTTGACCTGACAATTTTTCGTGTTTCTGTAACAATTACGTTTGTGCGTAATAATCAAGAACTGTTGGCTTTCGCATATTTTGTACGAAGAATGGAGAATCACCCGTCACCCCCTCGCGGACAAATGCATCAAGCGAACTAAGGTTATAAACTTGAATATGTGATTGTTCTAGCAATTACTTTCATCTATAGATGACATCTTTAGGTTCCCGCCAATCGTCGTTGCAGTGAGCTGTTCAGTTTCGAAAAAGCTAGAAACGTCTTTTGTAAATTGATTTTTTGAATGAAAGACATTCTACGAGTGTCATTGTGCATTCATTCTTCGTACATGAAAACCCTGTTGCCATTTTACAGTTAGCTAGGCTGCAAGCCAAATGGGACGTTGTGGCTGTGAATTGCCTGCAAAGAAAGCTGTTGCAATCATGCTTATCTCCAGCGCGCCATTTTCCAATTTATAAGCTGTGCATAGTCGTACGTTTGCCAATATTTTTCCAAAATGTTCTTAAGAGACTTATATTTGTGTATAGAAATTTTTTGAATAATCTAGTTTGCAAATATTTGAGGCCTTTGTTAAACTTGGGTCATAAAGACCTATAATTGGATTAATTTTTAAATGATAACTGCTTCATTCAAATCATGATTCATGTTGGTTAAAAATGTTCTCAAATATATGCAAAAAAGCGAATGAAATGAATATTTTGTAAATATTTATGTCTTAGTTGTAGCCAGTTGTAATTTCTCATTTTGATAGTTTGAGATGTAGAAACACATTTTACTTTGTAGAAAGAAGAACATATATAAATATATAAATGCACGATGAAGTAACCCCCCCCCCCCTCCTCCCTTCCAGTGCTCAAATCTAATTGATATCACAGTTGTTCATAATGTTAGCAAAACAATAGTTGGTACGTCAAATAAACTTGAGTGTTTACCAAGAGGTCCTTGTAGATTCCTCTGAAGGACTTAGCGCCTTGATATCCTTCCCAAAGCGACATATTTCCAAATGTATTGATTTCATGGCTTTATCTTGACTACTGATGGAAGAAGTTTCTATGTACCATTTTTTGTGGTACCGTTAAAGCCATGTACCCTTTATAGTAGTATGCAGTATTCCTGGGTCAGCTAGGCTCCAACTGCAAGCCATTTTCTCCCTTTATCATGACAACTTCCATTAATACCGACAAAAAGGCGCGTTTATCTTTGTAATTTGATATTCTAAGGAATTTTCATTCTTAGGAAAATAGGTCACATAGTGATGCGACTCCGTATAGTATTTCTTGCAGAGCAAACGCATAAATGTTTTAGTTTTTATAACATATTTCTTTGATGCATGCAAATTGCTGGTTTTTCATTTCTAAGTATTTATTTGTCTAAAGGTTATTTGTGATTACTATTTCTGGGAAGAAGACTCTCATTTAATCTTGACTTCATTCTACATAACTTATGCAAGTCTGGCTTGCTACATACAATTTGCGTTCAGATCACAGGCAGCTTCATAAAGGGCACTTTTGGTGCTTTTCTGGTGCTCTAGAGCTAAGAGTATGCAGTAAATCAGGAGTTCTTAACCCTATCCAGACTAGGCTTTTTGAAACTTTCGGGAGACTAGGGGGGGCACAAAGTGCCCCCCTCCGTAATTTCTTTGTCCCTCTAGCTAGGACAATGAACTTTGTTTGGATGGTACTCTTGCCTTTTCTCCACATTTTAGTATTTTTGTTCAATTTTTAAGTCACGTGGTTTTACGATGACGTCATCATAATGGTGGACGGGTGAAGCAAAAATTTAGAAAATTTTAGAAAATCTTAAAATATTCATGAATTCCAAAGCATCGGGCTAAGATCTTAAAATAAGCAAATTTGATGCATTTTCTAATAGAAACAAGAAGATTGACACAATTTTAATGTTACTTCTCAAAATTATTAACGTTCCAAACAAAAGAACTCAACATATTTTGTAATTGGCTATAGTTTTTTCTATGTAACTAAATGATCGATACAACCAAATGTCATGTTTGAGTTCATTTTTAATGCCTTAGCAGACAAATTATTCTAAACTTGCAGTTTTATTAATGTAATACCTATAAATATGTCAACAAATGTGTGCGCATGCGCAGCAGAAAAATCATAGAAAATGATGTTGAATTTGAATTTTCTGGTCAGAATCATGAAGAGAGGACAAATTGATACCTAGATACTAATTTTCATCAATATATCTACTTTTGTTGCGAATCCGTGGCAGATTAAACTATTTTTTACTTGACTAGTTTTGAAAACGCCCCTACACAACCCCCTGATTAATAATAAAAAAATTATCTTTTTATATGAACATATGTCAGATAGGTTAAAACTAAAAGTCAGGAGGTCTGAGGGGTATTGCTTTAAAACTCCTGAAGTTATGAAAGAAAAACCAACTAGGGGGGCACTTTGTGCCCCCCCCCCCTAGTCTGGATAGGGTTAAGTATTTTGAATGCCGGGCCAGAAAAACATATGGATTTTTCTCGTGGGCTATTGAGTTTTAAACTTTTACATAGCTTGTGTCAAAAGAGCTGCTCAAAATGAAGTTTAGATCTCACTTAACGGGCTTAATTAGAGATAAGATAGGCAGGCCTATTATTTGGTGTTAGATTCATGAAATAAGTTTTGAAAAGGTGGATGATAGAAGAGAAGGAGAGCAGTCTAACAGCATTGAAGGGTGTAGTGTACTTGGTAGATGCCAGAGGGATTGGTTCAACGTGCAATACAAGACGGATTCACTGGCCCGAAGCAAGGCCTGAAGCAAGGCCCGAAGCCCGAAATAACTTGTGGGGGGGGGGGAGAGCTAGAAGCTGCAAACTTTAGCATGCACCCTTGTCGAAGTGCCCCGGCGTTTCCTGCCCCGGTGAATTCTCCGGTGCAATAATTAAAGCAAGATCCTCCCCGGTACAAATAACTGCCCCCGGGATAGATCGCCTCGATCAAATTTCTCGGTCACAAGTCTTCGGTACCAAACCTCGGTACCAAAAGCGCCCCAGAGTTTCCCCGGCAATCCAACTTGTAGCAAATTTCGGAATCCAAGCCGGAATCATTTATGGCTGATGCATGCGTAAACTACCTTTCATATTTATTGATGCGAATTTGCATCTCCTGCAATCTGACACTCCAGTAAATGAGACTATCATTTGGCTACTTACCAACTCTTGCTGAAAGATCAACAATTCGATGGTATTGCCATTTTCACTGACTACGAGACTTGAGTTTCAGACCAAATCATTGAATAGTTTGAAGGCCATACAAGGTAGTATTTTAAAGAGCTCGAAACACCTCTTGTAGCCTGAAGAGCACCAGTCCCATGAACAGTTGATTTAGCTGAAAGTAGCCATGAAAGCAAGAAGGAGATAGCTTGTAAAGTGCATTATAGATTAAGGTTGTAATAATTGTGTGTAGTACTTTTTATGGCTGATTTTTAAAGGATGGAAAATTTGCAAGGAGGGAGCAGAAAATGCTTGTAATTTAATGGCTTGAATAATTTTATTCTGTAGTCGGAATAATGGATTAAGATATTTTTAGTTGGTAAGGCTCCATGCACCTGAGCTAATGATCAGGTAGTCCGAGTAACTTCTTGCAAAATTCAGTGATGTGGTAGTTCCACCACTGAATCTCATCCATCAGTTTCTCTAAAAAATTTGCATAATTTGCCCTTTGGGTTGATAGACTGTTCACCAATCTTTGTTGGGATTATTTGACTCTACAGGGAATTTACATGCAAAGAAGAAAAAGAAAGATAAAAAGGCATTGAGATATAGCAGGAGTTCATTATGAAGTTTTGCCTGGCCTAGAACAGGCCAGTAATGACGTAATAGGCACACACACAGAAAGTCTGAAGAGGAAGAGAAAGAAAAAAGCAAACCCTAACTAGAGGAGCTTATCAGTGACACTTTTTTTGATATTAGCACCTTTTCTGTCCTGGCACCCTCACTTGGATGGAATTTTCTACAGAAGCCAACGATTTCGAGTTTTTTTATTTTGGTAATGAATCAAAATCAAGAACCTCCGCTGGTAAAGTTGTACCATGTGTCAAAATTCTCTACATTGTTTCAGAAGAATCGTTAACTGAAATTCACAATGAGCTCCAGACCTTTTTCCATGCAAAAAAGAAATTCCAAAATGAGAAGACCAGAGGGTCAATTGACAATTAGTAGTTCTGTTTACCTGGTTTTAGAAGTCGCGCAAAAGCATCCTATTTTCAAGACCACGGAAAATTTGCTTATATCTGCAAAATCTATTTGCAAAAATAAAGGAAATTTCAGTACAATTAGGAGAACTGCTGTCTTGAAAATTGCTTAGAACAGGGCATTTTCCAGCGAACTAGAATCATCAAAATTCAAAAATTTTCTTTCCTTTGGTGGCAACCATGGTGCCGCCTCGGGTAGCTACTGTATTCAGAGCTTGTCCCGATATGATCAGATCTTTGGGGCTGAAAGGTCCGTTGTTATTATTTTGGCTTGTCAATGTTTCTACCAAAGGGTCCTTAAAAATTTGAAACGTGCTATGTTTCCAAACTTTTCATTTACTTTTTGCCAATGTTTGTATAGTTGCGAATTGTATAATGTGCAGCTAGTGTCAATGCTGATGTGTTGTCGTCCAGCTAAAAAAGTGCTTGGTGCAGGCAAATTACACATGCCATGTTCCTGTTGTTTTTTGTCCCCATTTGAAATAACACTGTCCTCGGTACAAATTAAAGGATCCCCGGTTTCAAATTTGAGCATCATTCTCCCCACCAAAAAATGGCCGCCACCCCGGCAAAGATCTGACCTCTCACCGGGGCACTTAAATGGGGGTGTTTAGCATTATAATTGTTATTATTGTTATTATTATTATTATTATTTGAAACTCATGAACATTTCTATCCGCTGCACCTACTATATCTTCTGTCGTCGAAACAAACCATGGCTAAGGCCCGAACTAATTGACTTTTAAATATTGTAATGCAGATAAGCCAATTATATGATGCCTGTAAAAGCGAGTCGTATAATTGTAAAATTAAAATGTATTCAATGAAAATGAGATGTTTAAAAAAAAATTATTATTATTATTATTATTATTTGTTGCAAAAATAAACCATGGACAAATCCGGAATTACATCCGTTTTAATTTTTGTTGTTTTATTTTTCTCAGTTTTTCCTTTTACCTTACGATTGTTATAGTTTTTTCTTGTAAAACCAGGCTAGCCAATTGCAAATTACCTTGTAATAGTGAGATTTGTAGTTGTAGTTTAAGTTGAATTGAAAATGAAATGTTTCCATTATTATTAATACTTTGATTTAAAGTGTGCTGTTCGAAATAGCTAATAATAAAAGCTAATTGAGGCCAACTCTTTACAAATAGTGTATAAAAATGAAATACATAATAATTACAAAAAACCTAATCCATATATAAAAGTTTTGCAAATCCTACAGTTGCAATGTTTGCATTTTGTTGTCTTAAGATGTTTTTACAGATGTCTTGTCAAAGAGAGTGAAGATGTAGTAAGATGACTTAGCAGTCAAAGAGACTGAAGTTTCCACTTCTATAAGTAATTTTGCCCATATTCTTTGACGCATGAACCTTGCTGTATCTGTACCATAGCATGTGGTTCTCACTTTTGGTAGGTTTAAATTGCTCAAGTTTCTTAGCTGATATGGCATTGTCTTCTCCCCAAAAATTTCTATCATAAATGAGGGATTCAACCATGAGCAACTGTAGGTTCTTCTGATGTATAGATACCGAAACTTCATTTTCTAACAATTTCTCGTAAGGTGAAGTGTTGTCTTTGTATTCGATTCAAAAGGCCCTTTCCTGTATCCTGTTTATCTTCTTATTAATATTTTTGTCATTAAACATCCAGATAAATGGGCAGTAGCTGAATTGTGACATTATAAAAGTGTTCATCGTCAGTTTTATTATTTTGGATTCCACGAAAATCGAAATGCGAGATAAAGCATGCAGTTTTTGGCTGGCCTTTTTACAAAGAGTCTGCACATGAGTTTTGAAGTTAAGTTTTGTATCTAGTGTAACTCCCAGTAATGTTTGTTCGTCACTTTCTTCTATTACCGCCATTCCTACATTTAATTTCATCTTTTTTTTTCGCCAAAAATCATAAAATGACATTTGTCCGCGTTTTATTTCATATAGTTTTCAGGATACCAAGTTGATAGTTGGATGGCATCTTGTTCTAGTAGGCCAATGACATTTATGGCCTCAGAGTCGCATATGTAGATAGTGGTATCGTCTGCTCGACAATCTCACATACAAAGTCTTTCTCAGCTTTTTTCTAGTCATAAAATTTCAACTTGTCAAAAACTTTATTTTTATTCTTGACAGGATGGGACACAGCAGAGCACGGAAGAGCATTTGTCAACACATTGCAGCAAGCATTGTTACCGATAGTTATT